ATGTTAGTATTATGAATCAAAGAAAGTGCCAGGCTTGTCTGCAGGCATTCATGTATCCTAATTTTGTCTTGCAGATTTCTCTTCACCTATAGTCTTTTGCCAATCTCACTTTGTGCTATGAAATTTTCACCACTCTTACTTCTGCAGTCATCCCCATTTATTGCCACTACTCCCAACTATGAAGCTAATACTGCAAATGAGGTGCTATGTCTGCAGCTCCACTGTTATTGCATCCCTTGAATAAATTTTGGATGGCCTGACAATTAAGAAAAAGGGTCCTGGACTGTAAACAGTTCATTTTGCTTTCGTCCATACCACTGGTGCTGAATTTGGCCCAAGCACTGAGCATTTCTATTTTACCTTTAATCTGAATCTAACAGTGCAAAGAAGCTTGTAATTGCTTTTCCACACCCATTTAATGAAAGCATATTTGTTACATAAACCTATATGCATAAATTTTATACATAATCTTAGAATGATCATGTTTGTAGTGCATTTGAACATTAGTAAACTCTCTAGATTTGTAGAGAAGTGTGGCTCTGTTTTAAAAGTAACTGCCTTCTGAAACTATTTGTGAAGTTGCAGTGAATTGACAAGATTCACAGAACTGGTATAAGTTTGGTAGTGCCAGTCTCTCCTGTTTACAGTGTTTCATTTTGTATAAATAATTATTCACTACAGCTGGAACCCAGCTGTTTTACCTCCATAAATGGTATCTAACTAGCAGAATAGGTATTCTCTCTTTTTCTTGCTCTCTCTTTCTCTCCAAAGTATTTCATGAACAGATATGATTGAAATACAAAAAGTGCAGACTTGTTGAATAAAAAGTCATTATTTGTACATAGCTGCTTTTCCTAGTAGAACTCTAACTTAAATAGTAATTTGAAAATATATAGTTTTAATTATCTTTGCTTTAACAGTATAAATGCCTGACGTTAGTATGTCATTGGAGATGTATGTTATAATGTTAATCAGACTTGTCAAGATGAGATAGTACCTTTTTGTTCTCTCTCACATCATAAACTCCTGATCTCCCCAGAGGAAAAAATGCATAATGTCTCATTTACAACCTGTTGCATACACAAATTATTTCCCTTTTATATGCAAGGCAGTAGCAAAATGTAATTCTATTGACTTGGAATATGACTTTAGGAAGATGATGTTTATTACATTTTGTCACTTGGCAGATTTTTCTCCTGCTGTGAAAAATTTGATCCAAAATTCATGTTTACAAAAATGGAAGCAGTGTTGATTTTAAAACAGAAAAAAATACTATAGTTTACATTTTAGGGGATAAGACATTATTCATGAACTGAATAAACTATCCATAAATAAGACCAAATTTAAAGTAAGTGATAAAAATAATGTAATATGCCAATTCTGTGCTACTTATACAACATTATTGTTTAGCAGAACATATGGCTTAGAAGACACTTGTTCTGTATACAGGTGTTTTTGGAGAAAATGCAAAGGAAAGGGGGCAAAAAATATGGAAGATCACATACAAACACAGTGAATTCCACAATGAATGTAAAATATTGAATAGTCTAGGACATGAATTGGATTAATTTAATTTCTAACGTACTGTGCTCAAGTGGAAATCCTACTACTATTGAATCTCACACTGACCTTCTCATTATACATTTTTGCAAGATACACAGAAACTGGTTCATTATCACATCATACTCTTGAACTGATTTCAAACAAAACTGTTCTCATCAACATCAGGCTTGAAAGCTTTATGCTCCATTTAAATTTTAAAAAAGAGAAACCTCTGGGTGAAACAAAGGATCTTATTTACCATAACATATGTGTGTATTTATTTCCTTAAGTACTCAGGTTGGTGACACTGACATGAGTTATGTATATTATATAGCCACTAGCATCTTATGTTCTCCTTTCAAGATTCTTTTAGGTTGAATTTCCAAATAAATAATGGTAGAATTTCCAAACAAATAACTGTTGTTTGGATGCAGGATGTGGAGACTGAGTAATATTTGTTTAATACAGCTCTTTCATATATATCCCTTTTTATGTCCCTCTACCTATGATGCAAAGGAGGTGGCAATTATATAGTAGAGGCAGGATGGGAAGCACTGACATGAGCTTGTCAGGCATTACCTGTTCATATTTCTCTTTGGTATTTAAAATATGTGCAAAGCACAAGATAGTGTTCATTTGCATTGAACTTTATTCTTTAACAATAAGACAGATTACTCAAAATTCAGATTCTAAAAACACTGGATGCAATGCCTTTGTATCCAATGAAAAGATTTCAGGCCTGATTCATATCTCTTTAACTGTGCTCAATCAAAACTGTACAGTTATATGACGTATGTTTGGACTGTTTAGGTTATTGCAGCAGATAACGCACGAATGTAGCTGCTAGAGAAATTACCTCATAGATTATGTTACTGCACCATTCTAATATTGATGAGTAGGGAGATATCAAATGAAAACAATGATTGTTCAGCTTACAACTTGTTTGAGTTCAAAAATGAAAAACATCTTTAATAAGTTTCAGGTTTTTAATTTTAGTAATTTAAAACGTTATATAGTGAAACCATAAACAGTCACTACTGTTTTGAGCTATATGCAGCACAAGACAAAGGGAAGCAGGTTACATAATGTGTGTATATACAAATGCATTTGTATTAAACAGTAAATGGTCAGTTGCTGCTTACTGACTTGATAACAGAACAAAGAGCAAGGAGTCTCAAGTTGCAGCAAGGGAAGTTTAGGTTAGATATTAGGAAGAATTTTCTTATTAGGAGGGTAGTAAAACACTGGAATAGCTTACCCATAGAGGTGGTGGAAGCTCCATCCTTGGAGGTTTTCAAAACCCAGCAACCCAAGTACTAAATAAATGTGTAGTAACCACTTCGCAGTTGTGTCTTGTGTAGATGTGCTCATTGAGAAGTAAAATATATGCTTGGCTTTCTAATACTGAGGCGTTAACTTACAGTGTTTAGTTCACTGTTTTTGGAGAAAAGAGTAGTTTTTAGAAGGCTAGCTCATGAAATAAAACAATGTGCTAAACAAATTTATTTATAAAACTACTTGGATAGAATTGTCTTCACAGGTTTTACTATTGTCATACATGTGCCCTTGACCACAGAATGATAGTTAACTCCTAAATTTGTTTGAACTGCTATCACTCCATTAAGGTCAACGAAAGTCTGATAATTTCAATCGCCTGCAGGTCTGACACTGGACAAAATTCTGACTCACCTAATGGATGACCAAGTTCAGCTTCTGACCAGCTCTGCACTGGAGTAAAATGTAGGAGCAATTCTAGTTGGGGCATAACCTCTGGGGGTTATACCCCAAGAATAGGAACAAGATCACTCTCTGAAGAAGCGTGGATGTCTCCTTGTTCCTGTAATGGAGCACTGCTGCTCCCATAGTGGGCAATAGAATATCTCCTACATTTTAGTTGGGTAACTCAGAGTTGGTTAGAAAGTAGAGTAGGGTGGGAGGCATGACTGTCTCAAGTTAGCCTTGGGGGATGAGCTTGTCATGGCTCACAAGCAAAGCCCCTATCTCAAACTGCCTCTCTCCAGTGACAGACTACCAACCCTACTCTCACCAAGCCATGGGACCTTGCTACAGACCCAGACGCTGGTTGTGCCCCCTTGTCAATAGAGACTACATCATTATTGGATTATCCTATACAAAATTTAGTATCCAAGGTTCATCCACTTGCTCCTCTACCAGCATCATATACATCATCTGCTTACAGTGACCCGTAGCTGTCTACATTGGCTAGACAGGGCAATCCCTATACAAAAAGGAAAAATGGACGTTGATTTGACTTCAATTCTAGAAACAAGCAAAAACCTCTCTGAACGTTCTATCATTGACTTCAGAATAGCTGTCCTTAAACAAACAAACCAAAAAAAAATTAAAAAACAACTTGAATGTGAAATTGTAGAACAAGGAGTCATCCACAGACTGGATTGTGTTAAATATAGTGTCAACAGAGACTATGACTTCGTATCCCATTTTTGGGGCTAGTTTTTATCTCCACCTGTTTATTCCTATATCCCTCAGTGGGTTAAATACCTTCTTTATCCCTATCGACCTTTTCAACTCACCTCTTGCCTCTCAGCACTGGCTCTCCCCCTGTCCTTTTCCTTTGTATTTAAAGCCCTCTTATTTTATGACCTCTCTTTTTGCAAGTCCATTCATTATATCTGATAAAATAGGCTGTTGCATAGGAAAGCCCATGCCTCCGTGAACCAGTTGCACTGGGTGAAATAGAAGTCATTGAGTGAAATTTACAATGCTGAATATATAGGAACAGTATTGCTCTTCAGAGCAGTACAGATATACAAAGTACAGAAGTACAGAAATACAATGTGGGATGCTTAGCCTCCCAGAGTGGGCAATAAAATATCTCCTGCATTTTAGCTGGGTAACTTAGAACTGATTGTAAGTTGCAGTAAGTGAAACAAAGTCCTGTCCTCCATGCCTATAACAAGACACTCCTCCAGATAGTTGTTATATTTCTATCCATCATTGTTTTAAGTTTGAAAATGTCATGGTAGAGTGATGATCAAAAAGCCATTCATTGCTATTCTGTTACCTCCTGAATTAGTTTGATTAATTATTGCTCCAATTCAGGACAGCACAATTTTAAGGACATAGTTATGGTAAGTCCAATTGGGGACAATGTGATTCAGTCATTTCCTTAAGTATTGTGTGGAATAACTTGAGCATTGTGATTGGCTTCCCTATGTTCTTAAGTGATTTCCTGAATGGAATATATCAATGTAAGATAAGAGTTAACATACTTAAGTCTAGGTTAGCATGTATGCAAACATATAAAGCATTAATTGTTGCATTGTGTAGAGATGAATCGAGAGACTTTGTTACAAAGGACACTTCTCTAATAACAATAACAGACTAGATGGGACATAGATATTCTTTATTTTTACATTGGAAAATATAATATGTGGTCTAAACATTTGTTTCTTCTGTTCTTGATGTTTGAATAGGACATATGTCCACCACAACCACAATAATAAATGGCAAGAATGGATCCGTTCTCACACCGCCTGTGAAAGTGGCAAAGAAATCAGTTACAGAAGACATAGTAACAACATTCAGTTCACCAGCAGCATGGCTTCTTGTTGTTGCTCTGATTGTTACCTGGTCAGCAGTAGCTATTGTAATGTTTGACTTGGTGGATTACAGAACACTTGCAGGTAAGTCCTAGCAAATTCCATTTTAACATATCAATTGTTTAGATCCAAAACACTAATTTTTAATGAACTATGTATAGTATTGTATAGCATGTGTGTACCAGTTGGTGCAAAATGGTGACGCTCCATTGTTAGTGAAGCAGAACTGATTTATACCATTTTAGGATTTGTTCAGTAACCTGTAAACATGGTCCAAATGCAGGGGTGCCTGAAGGTTGCTCAGGGACGAGATGTGTGATCTCAATACATGTGGTGGGAGCATCATAACTCAGTTTGAGAAAAAGGAAGCACTGAATATTGTTGAATAAGATTGCTGCTACTTATAGTTTATAGGTTTTGCCTAATAGTCTATTGAGTAATGCAGAAAACTGATTTCTGTTAATAAAATAAGTTTGTTGTTTTAAAGTAATACAGTTACTTTAAACTACCTCATAAGTAGGTGTTATCATGGTTAGAGACACAAGAGTTAAAAAACCTGCCTGTTATTTATCTATCTATTTATTTAAGGACAACTCCAGTTTTAATACCAGACATTTTACCACTGTAATTACCAAGGAATTGAGATTGAAATTTGTGACTTAAATTCAGAATAAATTGAGTAAGGATTCAAAGTTAATTTCCTTGACTTTATTGTTTGAGTGATAGCAGTATGGATTTTGTTCTGTTATATATCAGTACTGACCAGAAGAATTATTGGCTTAATGGTTTTGTGCCAAAGATTGTGTGTGAAAAAAACTACTGGTCTCAGATTAATGGATTTCAAAAAGACTTGGAGCATAGAGAGAATATATTCTGGTCTTTGGGAATTCCTTACTTTATTATGTGGCTATCTTTAGAGTTCAGAGGGAAACAAAGGTAAACCCAGTTCTGGTCCCAGCAAGTATTGTCCTTTTTGAATCTTCTTCTTCATAATTTACTCTAAATTTAGAGACAGTCAACTGAAAGCTAAAAACTAGTGTAATTCTAAACCAAGAAATGCAACCACTTAAAAAAGCTATTAATATGAATTTGGCCATAAATGTGATTTATATTTTTAGATAAAAAATAAATAAAAAATGCCTAATAGTTCATATCCTGTAGTCTCCATACATTACGCAGAAAAGATTACCCTGTAAAGCTGCAGGACTGCAGGATTTGGCTGATGTGTGGTAGTAGTGTCAGAATTAATATTAAGAAGTGATAGCTATATCTATACTGGAGGCTGAAAGACTGATACCAAACAGATGGAAATCTGATGTTCCTAATGCACTGACTGAGAGAGCTGTCCCCAAAGGCACTGATGGAAACTGACATTTTAGACCAAATGTGAAGAATATAATAACATCAAATTCTATCTGCAAGGTGACTGCATATCTTTTTCTACAAATCTTTTAAAGATGATAGCTTAGCATATTGGGTTCATAAGTACCTTCTCCCACTATCTTGGAGGAGACAGTGTTTTAACAGACAGCAAAACTAGCCTTTAAATTGGATCTCAATTTGCTCATTGTGACCCTTGGTTTTTGACTAATATATTCCTATTTAGCCTGTTTCTTTAAAGCGGAACATGTTTGATTTAAGTTCTATGAGCTTTAGTAAAAAGAGGTATCACATAGGATCAACCTGCTTGACCTATGAAAGTATAATGATATAGCAGCTGAGGCTTTGGCTCACTGCCTTAAGAGGGATTATTGCACTAGTTTTAATATAAGAAAAAGATTTGGCCCATCATTTGGTATCATTGGCAAAACTCTTAATGCACATGTACTACAGTATTTGTGCTCTGAATAATTGACTTGTATCTAAAAACACTTATGTTTCTCCTTTGGTCTGAAACTGTGCTTGTAGAATGCAGGGATGAGTGTTAAAAGGGAATGATTATTTTCAGTATGGTAAATTTTAACTTTGCAAGCACAAAATTAATCTTAGGTTGAAGTTAAACATGACAGTTAGACCATACTGAGGGCACTTAAAAAGTAAATACCTGCACATTAAAACTCGTTAACTTGTGCCAAGTGTCCTCTGAGCATCTCAAAGTTAAGCCACTTAAAGTGAGGTTTAACTCTAGGGTAATTTCAATCTGCTTCATGGAGATACAACAAGCTCTTGGCAGTCTTCAAGCATCCCAGGATGGACCAGTCTCAGTCTCTCTCCCCACAACTCAGAGCAGGGATAGATCACAGGGCTACGTAGACATTTGGAGGTGTTAGGGGGAGCTTAAATCAATTCAAACTAGCAGCCCAATGTCAGATAAGTCAGGACAGGGGGCCTAATAGGGACTGGAGGTCTGCTGGGGGATGGGGAAAATGGAAACCATGAGGGGTGAGGGAAGGCATGACCCACAGGTCAGGTACAGGGGAAGATACTACATAGATCCAGGTTTATCTTAAACAGATTCTGCAATTTTAAGGCCAGTTTGTGTGCGTGGAACCTCTGTACAGTTACAGATTTTGTCTGATTGGCGAGCGCTAGGACTGGCTCTGTAAGTGTAAGGTCAGCAATGGGACAAGCTAAGTTTAAATGGCTAGCCATTTTAAACTTGATTTAACTTCCCCAAGGCTAAGTGCAGGCAGTCAAAAAGCCCAGGGCTGAGTTGATTCAATCTTTGTAGGTTAGTGTGAGCTGCAAAATTGAACCAATAAGCAAACAATCACTTTTGATTGAGGAAATGCAGCCATATGCCTGCAGTGGCTCAAGCCAGAAACTGTGGGCAGGGTACTAGAGCATGCTTGGCAGCCACTGCCAAAGGGAAGGGGAGAGAGAAGCCCTCCAAGACTGCCCCCCCTGCAGCTGGAGTGGAGGGGAAATAGCCAGGCTGTAGCCTGTGCTCTGCCTGGCTGGGTGGAGAGGGGGTGTTACCACACTAAGGAGGGGCGGTGGGTGGGGGAAACGGTAGTGGCATTGGAATTCATAAAAACTTGAACAAGAATAGTTATTTCTCTGAAGAACTATAAACTGAAGAACTGAAAACACAGCTCTACTGTGTTTGCTTCTTCTCCCTGCTGCCTCTGAGGACAGGGCAGGTCTGTACTCAGTGAAAGGAAGTTT